AGAATAGTTTAGCTGTAGTATGTATTATGCTGCTCGAATGAAAATGTACTTATGTTTTCAATTGATTAATAAACTCATGATCTAGCCTGACTATGGATATACAAAAAAATAAAATAAATACATATATATGTAAAAGTTAACTTTCAAAATATGTTTGATTAAAATTCACTATAATAGTATAATAAAGCCAAACCTATGGATCAATAGCACAATAGTAGTACTCCCAGGTCACAATTATAAGATCTTTAGTTCAATACCACTTAAGAACTAAAATACAAAATTATTTTTTGATTAAATTTACCAATTATCCTATGAAAGTTGTACCCAATTATCTAGAATCAGCTTGAAACAGATTAGACTGCATGAAGATAAAACTTCTGGCCTTTCATCAATTAGGAGCTGAGACTTAGGATTGTACTATTGGAAGAATTGCACAAAGTAAGGCTTCTGGTTTAGCCTCCATATAATGTATCCAATCCACTCTATTATGGTAGCCTCCAGAATCCTACTCTCCTAATTCAGAATATTCCAATCTGATGTTTTGCTTAATTGAAAATTAGTTAATAGGGATTGATTCAATATCACAGATAGTGACAAAGAAGGTAATATACCCCCTTCTGAGATCAGAATGAATAATATTTAAGAATATTGAAGGATGTATACATCCTGTTGAATATATCTAACAGGTCTAACTTAGTAAATTATAAAAAGAAAAAAGTCATATGAGCATTATACTAACTAGCCTAAGTATTACCATTTATGATTATATATTAATTATCCAGTTACTAGCTAGATATGCTCACTTTCGAAGTGATAATAGGTTTAACTAGGATTGTCGTGTTAGGTTAACATTCATCTACATATGTAGAGATGTTTGATATAATAACAATAGAATTAAATTGTCAAATAAAGTCTCATATCTAATACTAGTTGCAGTTTAATACTAAAAAAAAATAGTATAACAAAGCTACTATATTAGTAAAATTAATGATTACAACAGAATAATACCAAGTGATTAATGTCAATAAGCTATTAAAATATTTTAAATATAAGTAGTAAATCAGGCAAAACAAGTAAACAACACTGGTACCAAATAATAAACAATAACACAAGTCCTAACAGGATTAGAAGCTTAATAATAATTACTAAAATAGCATTAAGAACAAAAATTAATCTACTTATATGATTACTTATAATGCAATACAACTATACAATAATAATATCAATCTATATATATAAATTGTTATAAATAAAGTAAATTAAATATTTCAAATAATAAATGAAGTAAATCAAATATTTCAAATAATAAATAAAAGAGAAGATAACATTATGAATACATTATTTCAACTGATAAAGAAGTATAATAAAATAGGTAAGCTATAGATTATACAACAAATTATCCAATAAAAAAATATAACCTTTCTAATAATATAATTAAGTTACTTCGGAAACATATATTATATTAGATAATATTATTATTAAAATTTTAGAAATAGATAAAACAATATTCTATAAAGAATAAATCCTTATATAACATATTTCATATCTATGATATGATAAAAAAAAAAATGAGAAAAATTTACTCCAATCCTATATAGAAGATAAATATTTAAATATAATTAGAAAAAGATCATCAAAAATGCAATCTACTTTAATAGAGATCACTACTGAGTTAAAAAATAAATCAACATTGAACAATAAAATAATAATAATGGATAGTTAAGAACAAGAAAAGATAGAAGTGAAAATATTTAAAGATAAAATTCAAGACTATAATATAAGTGAGTATAGCTTTTATGTAATAAGAAATAAACAAACAATTCTATACTAAACTTCTACTTCATAAACAAAAAGGATAAATACAAAGTAGGGATAATAACAGTCAATATTCCAGAAGATAATGAAGAAGAGATCAAAGTATACTTGGATAGTATATTAAAATTGTTATGAAACAAACACAACTTTCTTTAAAAAAAATTTATTAATAGAAATAAATAGTTAAGTTTTCACTTGAAGGAAGAAGAAAATCTTCTCAAGTGTTTAAAAAAAAATAAATAGAAAAAAAAAATCTTTTGTTTACAACAGCTTGAAACAAAATCAACAATTAAGTATAAAATACAGAGATGTTAAACAAAAAGATTTTTTGATTAATAAAAAAAGAAAAATATATATATATGATATATTAGTTTAATATATATAGAAAAAAAACTTTCCATCACTTTATAAAAGAATATCTTAAAAGATATGATAAAATTCAAAATATATATATCTATAAGGTTAAAATAAAAATAAAAATCATGGCTTATATCAAGTGATATAGTTATTGGAAAATAAATTCAAAAAAATCTTATGAATAATTTCACTAGGAAAAGAAACTATTAGGTCTATCTTCTTCAAAAAAAAATTAATAGATAAAGAGATTAATATTATCTTAATAGAATGGAATCAAAATTCTACAAGATTACTAGATACTAATAAGATCTATTCAAGTCTAGTAGTCAAGATACTCAATAATACAAAAGTGAAGACATGTTATATTCCAAAAAACCCCTTCATATTGAAGAAACAGAACTTTACAATTATATACTTTGCAATAAGAAAAGTTCTCAACAAAGCCTATAAATAATACATCGTCTTATATGAATTATATTTATTATGGAATATAAAGAATACATTAGCAGAAAGTGAGAAAATCCTTAATACAAAAAGAAAAAGAGTTAAAACATAAAATAGAAAAGTTGAAATAAACAATGAGATATTCATAGACTCATTATCTAACAATAAATTGATAAGTTCTTTCTTCTCATCTAGTAAGAGTTATTTGCTATCAAGAAAGTCACTTTCAAGAGATTCATCTCCAAAAAGTCAAAGAAGATTTTATAGAACTCAAACTAGAAGTGTAAAATTGAACTTTGTTTTTCTTTTAAAAAAAAATTAAAATTAAAATAAATTAATAACTATTAATAACTATTAAAAAAAAGTTAGCATAAAAAATAAATTAGATTTATATATAATAATAAAATAATTTTTTATTTAAGATTATTTAAATCAATATTACTAAAATTCAATAATTGTTTCAAAAATATTAAATACTGTATATAATTGATAAAATTTTTTCTAAAAGAATTCATTTGTATTTTTAATGTTTGCACAATGTATTTTGTTTATTTGTAAACTCAATAAAAAATATTTATAACTAAACTTTTCAAAAAATAACGCAATTTGATTTAAAAAATATATATTATGCAATTTGCCAATTCTAATTTCTCAACAAATTTTAAATCTCAAAGTCAGTGTAGACATTAAAACATATGTTGCGCCACCGAAAGAACACATTACATAAATCTCAACGATTCGATTTAGCCACCCGTTCTGTGATTTAAATGAAACATCATTCATTTTAATGTGTAAAATTAACAAACTATATAATAAATGTACCCACCTAATTCATCCTTCTTTTTAATTGCATAAGAGTTTGAACTTCCCTCTAAAATATATTAAATAATGATTGTTCATTTTGACCACGGCAGTAATTCAGCAAAAATAAAATCAAGATAATAGTAGAACACGTACTGGCTGCGTTAATGAGTTCATCGGCCAAACATTCAGCGATACTCTTGACGTTTCTGAATGCGGATTCTCGTGTCTGCAATAAATTACCATTTATTATCATAAGCATAACAAATATTTCAAGGAAATATAAAATAAACGATTTACTCATACTCCAATTGTCAAGAGAGCAATAGCTTGATTCACCCTTCGTAGAGGAGATACATCAACCGCTTGCCTTCGAACAGTCCCTGCGCTACCAATACGGGTTGAATCTTCACGCGGACCAGTGTTAATGATAGCATCAACCAATACTTGAATAGGATTTTGATCAGTTAAAAGATGAATGATTTCAAATGCATGTTTCACGATTCTAACGGCCATTAATTTTTTGCCGTTATTACGGCCATGCATCATGAGAGAATTTGTTAAACGCTCAACAATAGGACACTATATATATTTGGAATAATTCGTTAGTTCTACATGTTCACTCTATGCTTCTCGGTCGATGTCACTCTTCTATGGTTTGCGGAAATAAGCGGATCTTTAGTAAATCCTTGGCTTATACCTGAGATTTCCTAAATCGTTTTGTGGAAAAGCGCCCCGCAGTGTGAGGCAAGTACACGGCGTTACGTATCTGGATGTAATCATGCAATGATATATCCTTGACTTCAACATCATCATAGCTCCATTTGTTAAACAAGCGAATTCCTTGGGATTCATTAAGAATCTCTACTGGGAGTGCCATGTTGCCTAGGTGAAATCTTTGGTTAGAGGCACTGGATTGGAATTATTGTTTGTCTAAAATAGATGGATGTTTATTCCCACCTTTCCCTTCCACGAAATGAAATTTTTGAAAAAGAAGGTCGAAAAAAAATTTTTTTTCGATTAATAAAATACGAATAAGATCTAGTTCACATGACATAAAAAGACTGCATAGTTCACGTGATATTTAATATAAAAACCGGTGCATCACTTTTTTTCCACCTTAAAATTATGGATAAACCTCCATACTTAGGAAGTGATAAGGCCAAATCTACCCTTCAAGCAACTTCGTTAACGCCACAACAAGTTGTGATATCAGAAGAATATCCTGTTTTATTGACCAAAAGGTACTTGTGAAGTTACACCTTTGTGTGGTCAAACATTAACATTTGCACTTTGCGTGATAGCAAGGAAGAGCTAGAAGATCTTCTTAACAATGGCGTAATCTACGAGTCTTTCCTAATGGAGGTGGAACAAGTTAGAGCAATGACTACCTTGAAAAATGATATGATGATAAATAATGAAACGTCGGCAAGTGCGGATTACAATTTGTTGCTATGCTCCAGTTTTCTCTGAATGATACTATTAGTTAACTCAAATGAAAAAACGTGGATAAAGAAAACACGCTATTGCAAGAACAAGAATTAATTCAACTACGGAAAACCGTAGAAGAGAAGGAAAATGAGCTCAAAGAACTCTATAACACTTTACAGGAAAAAATTGCAATGCAGCAAAATATATTGCAGGTGGTTTGATTTATTCTTTTTGTACAATTTATGACTCGGGGTTAGTAATCAAGTCCTTAAATTTCTAGAGATTTTCACCCTCGGTTCTTTTAACAAAACTTAAATCTAGTGTCCAACAATCTGATGAATTATCTGAGCAAATTGCATCATCGTTTTTGTCGGGAGAATTAGAATGTGATCAGTTTTTAAAACAGTTTAAGGAAGTAAGGAAGGTATATCACTTAAGAAACGCAAAAGTTGAAAAGGCTAATAATCAACCAGAGATACTAGAGTCGGGTTTATGAACCTATAATAAGTTTATTTTCATTAAGCAGAAATTAATGTTAGGAAATTGGGAGTTTTTAGATAACTATTTAATAAATTTATTAGACAAGGATTCGTGATATGATTAACACGACCATTTTTTTTCATAACGTATTTTAGGATTTTTTATATATCTTGTGAAAATAACATAGCAATCTTTCAATATACCTTTGTTAATAATCTTTTAAAGACAATTCCACAGGATATATATATTACTTTGCCTATATTACACTACTCAATAACTTGAAATTCAGGTTCAATGAACTTATTTGACTATTAAATAGAATATCCAATCAAAAGCAACAAACAATTATAATATTATTGAATTATCTATTGATGCATCAATTCAAAAAAAAATTATTAGTGACATAAATAAATTGTCAATATTAATTATTATTAATTTGACATATTCATAATTTATTAATAATTTGTCAAATAATATATTAATTATTTAACAAAAATTTGTTTTTTTTTTATGTTGATTTACACTAGTTGAAATTATGTCATTTGGCAACTGAATTATTGTTGAATTTGATTAAATTTAATAATAAAATATTTTTAAATTCTTTTTGATTGCTGCCACTCAACATATTATTATTTCAACAATAAAGTGGCAATCAAAAATTTGGCAATCACAAATTTAATAATAAAAAATTTAGCAATCAAAAATTCAACAATCAAAAAATTGGACAATTAAAATTTATTAATTAAAAGTTTAATAAATTATCAAAAAATTCATTAACAGTTTGTTAAATAATTCATTAACTATTCAACAAAAATTTATTAAAAGTTTATTA